GCCAAACTGCCATCAGACTAACAAACCGGACTATGTCTGAACGCCAAGTAGCATAATTAAATTAATTTGTTATTCATTCAAATCCTGAAATTCAACTTAACTCAAACTCGAAATGTCAAATAACTCTGTTCTAAAAACCAAATAATTTGAACAACTTAATTCAATTACTTCAAAAAAAATTTAAAAAAAAGCTTTTTTTTTATAAATATAATCAAATTTTGCTCACCCTCATTCCAACACCTGATAGCTCTAGTGATACCACTGAAACATATGGTACATGCATGTTACTTTTTCAGATGATCCAATAATGTATTCAGACAAATACAGATGCTTTGGAACCTTGTGTTTCTTTTTCATATACTAATTAGCTTGCAAATCTGGGCAAAGGACCAAAGAATCTATACAACAAACAATGTATGCATGTGTAATTGAATCCGTCATACAAAAAACAAGGCTATATTTTGCATATAAATACCAGATGGCAAAACTAAGACTTTCTTCTAATGAAAACCACGTTCATCATAATTCAGTTCTCCATGTTTCATTAAACATACTCTTCTTTCCAGACACAGGAAGAAGTTGTTCTATCACCATATCTCATGGAAGAAATGCTGATATTTTGCAGCATTTCAACCTGCCAAAAATCAAATCCAAGTTAGGGTGCCATCATACAATATGACTCTCGAAAAGTACATTCAAATTGACCATGCAAACATATGTGCTACAAGAAGAAGGTAGCATAGCTTAAAATTGAACAAAATAAGATAGAACAGTTGAATAACACATAACGCAACATAGACATTGCATGACCGTCAGAACTTGCCAGGAGATTCTCCCACAGAATATGATTTTAGTGTCACAGGTTAAATATCAGAAGTATATAAATAACATACATTTCTAGTTTTTTCATTTCTCCCACTAGCCACTACCTATTTTCTCTTGCAACAATGCAACTTTCTTACATGCTTTTCTTTACCTTAATACCGAAAGAGAAAGATAATCTAACTTCTAGTCTTATATTGGATGAACAAACTCCAATACAAGTAATCAGAATTCCATATGAAAATCACATGGTCCTATAATCTCCTTCAAAATATTTCTGTAACACATCTTGCTTCGGCTACCCCATCTCTCAATGCCCCTGTGAATTTCTCTTTACTGAGCCTCAACTTGGTATTCAATCTTTACATCATTACTTTCGACCACTTTAAGCCTGAAAGATTGACCATCAAGCCAGCCGTTCACAGTTAGCACTAAGTAACTACATAGTTGTGAGCATTAAGTTCAGAAAAACAAACCATGTATAATACCCCCTAAAATCAATATGGAAAGTATCCATATAATGAAGAAACAAACAAGCAGTGTGTCAAAACACGAAAAACGCACCCTGGACCAAACTTGAGAAAATTATTAGTGACCATATGTGGTAAATGTCATATGTGAAAAGTGATTAAAAAAGACCTCTTTGTCATTACTGTAAATTTTAGTTTCTATCTTGGCAGCTAAAGCAACTTCAGACTTCTTCTCCCTTCCTTCAAACAATTGAGATAGGGATTAAGCATGTCCAGATCTCCACGGAGCTAAAAAAATATAAGAGCCTTGATCTCCACCTTTGTAATAATTATACTCATATTATAGAGATAATGATCAAGCTGTATTTGTTAGTGAGTGCACAAAATGGACTACTAATCATCTCAAGTTCTTGCTCAAGCTCAGTGATCATAATTAGTAATTTTTTTTACAAACGTTTGGTAACCAAAGTTTTATAACATCAACAATAAATGCAAGGAAAAAATAAAAATGCAGGCATATCATTCGTAATCACTCGGGACTTCCAATAAAAGAAAGCATACATCCAATTACTTCAATTAATATTTTCCAATCAAAGTCACATAAATTATACATATAGTTTGTTAACGATAGTTACCAGGACCTACTACACTCAAAGAGCATCTTCACAGGGATGAAAAATTTGAAAATATTTCATGCTTTAGAAGCATTCTCATTCTATTCTTCACATTCCTGTATGACTTTGTCATGCCCTACAATGAACCATATCTATAACCAAAACTCAGATGACTGTCTTCATGGTGCTGGCTACTAAACTAATTTGATAAGCACGTTCACCATACGTGGTACATAAAAAAATTAAACTATAACCCAAATTTTCAACATCAGCAAATTGAAAGCCAACACAAAGAAAAGGGATAAAACGATTAATATATTTGCTAAAAAAAGGGAAAAAGAATACTTACAATTCTCAATCCAAATCTTCTTGCCTGGTCCCCGCATTATCCCCTGATCCTGAACCCGACCCACGGCCCCCAAACGGCCAAGGAAGCGATATCCTATAACTTCTCTCCACCGCCTGATTATCTCCAGACCTCTGGCCATTATCACCACCACTACTATCACCATCGTTACCACCTGCAGTACCATGTGCCCCACGAACCCTCCTCTCATAATCAGGATCATCTGTAGGCAACTCGTGACGACACACAGGGCACGAATTATGCACTTCGAGCCACGGAAATATACAATCTTTGTGATAAAGATGGTGACAGGGCATTTGCTTCGCATCAGTCCCTTCCTCGAACTTATCCATACAAACCGCGCACTGGTTGAACTCCGAATTCATGTCGTTATTCGCTATCTTCACCGTAGGTAGAGCTTCAATGGCTGATTTAGATGCCGGTGGGGTCCCGTACCGGTGAGGGTCATTTTCGGCCAGCTATTAAATCAGTTGCTGGAGCCCGGGTCCGATGAAATAATCACCGAGGTTGGCTGGAAGCCGAAAGCCCGGCTCGGATGGATTATTCTGGATCACGAACTCGATTTGGGCTCCTCTTGAACGGAGATCGTTGAGATGGTTTTGAATGAAGGTAAATGGATCGAAATCGAATGGGTCACCTCGGGCTGAACGGGTTGACCCGAATAGGTTAGGGTTATGAAGGTCAATTGAAGCGGGGGACGGTGAAGAAGTGGTTGTGGTAGAAGAAGGAGAAGGAAAAAGGAGCGGGAGGAAGGCAGAGAACGGATCCGATGTCGATAAAAAGGGATCGGATAATGGGTTCGAGTTCGGATTCCGGTTTTGGAAGGCGGAACCTGGATTAAGGCTAGGGTTTTCGTATTCTTCGAGGAATCCCTCGTTGCATATAGGACAAGAAGGGTCAGCTGAAGAGGAGATTGTTATGGTGACGGTACGGTTACATTGGTAGCAAAAGAAATGCTAATCGGTTGCGCCGTCGGACGACATGTTTCAGGTCTAAGATGGTTTCAAGTTTCAACGGGACAACCAAAGTGAACTGAATTTAATCTTGATTTTTTTTGAAAAATATGTATATTATATATATTAAAAATATTTTTCTCAAAATAAATAACCATATAAAAATGCTTTAATTGTATTGGTCAAAGTCTTATATTAGTCCTTATATTATGAGTAAATTTATTGATTTAATTTTATAGCTTGAAAATTTTTATTCTTGTAATATTCAAAATTTGAAATTAAGTCATGACTTTGATAATATTCATAACTTTTTAAGTTAACTTTTATTATTAATTCTTATATTATGTGAAAACTATAAGTTTAATTCAATTTTTTTATTTGATCATTTTAAATCTTTATAACTTAATCATTTTATTCTTATATTATTCTATATAAATTTTAAAATTTTAAAATATAATAATTTGAAAAAAAAATAGGGAAGCAAATGATTACAATGTGAAAAATGAAGTGCTAAAGCCTTTTTATATATAAAAAAAGTTGAGGGGTAAATTTGAATAAAAATAGATTTGATATGGTAAAAATCTCAACTGTGCACTAAATTTAAAATTTTAAAAATATTTTAAGTTACAATATATCATACATGAGATTATTTACTCATATAATTAAAATAAGAAAAAAATTAAAATTGTGTAATTGAGATTACCATCTTACTAAAGTTCCAATTTTGTATCACTTTTGAAAATTGATTTAAAAAGTACTATAATTTTTTTTAATTTTTTTTGAAAGATGTAATTTAAAATTTAATTATTTGAAGTTGCTGTTAAAACTAATTTTAAAAATATAAAACATCAATTTTAAACATTATATTGTAAATTGAAAATATAATATTTGAAAATAAAAATATAATCTAACTCAAAAGAGATTTTTCACAGCAATAACTATAGCGAATATAATTTATTCTAAATGTAAAGTAATATAATAATTAAGGATTATGTGAATTCCTGCTTAATATAATTTATATCTAGAGGATTTAAAATATTAAAAGTGTGTGAATATTTTCGAGAAATGTTTTTAAATATATATGTTTAAATATTTAAATGGATTGAGTCAACCCAAACATATATGGTTTAAAAAGCTTGGTGATAGTTAAAGTATCATATATGTTTAGAAGGATTGAGCCATGCAGGATGCTGGGACCAGCGTGTTGGTTCCATCAAAGAGAACACCGTTGCAGTCATGCGCCATGACGGCAAGATTTGGAGTTATTACAGTTAACTTCGACGATATTAATAGGGCCGTAGCAGAGTCTGGACAGGAGGAGCAACTGCTTAAGTTTTAAAATCATCCTAATTAAAATAAATAAATTAGATATTTAATCACTCATCAATTTTTTTTTTTGTTTCTGTTTGATCATTCAATTTTTTTTTTTTTTATAATCGTATCTAATGTTATATATATTTTTTAGTCATCTGTCTTTAAAAAACTAACAACGATGTTGACGTAGCATTTTTAATTATTTTATCAATTTTCATTTAATTATTCTTTTATTATTTCTTGATATTTTCTATTTAAAATTTGATGTATTTATTAGATAGTTTATTAAGGGTAACAAAAAATATAATTTTCAAGTAAATTAAGTTATTTTTGCTTATTCGTTTGAGATCACTAAATTCTCATAAACGGGGTTTGGACATTAATATTTGGAGATTTTCGATTTAATCTCAATGCTCAATAGCATATTACATTAAAAAGGGGGGAAATTAAAACATTCAAAAACACATGGAAATGGGGTATTTAATCTTTAGTTGAATGTTTAACTCCAGAAACATGAAACGAAAGCACACACCCTAAACCAAATATATCACAGATACGTCTCTTATAGGTTTTATAAGAAGAACAGAAAACTTGACCCCGAATGCTCACTCTATCTGAAATCCATTCAATGCTCATCTGCAGAGTTGTCAAAGAGAGTGTACACTGTCAAATTATATGAAGAAACTAAGATGCTTGATATATGATTGACTAAACGGTGATGATTATGTACCATGCATGGCTGCAAAAAACTAGACATTTGAATCTTGAAGGTTGGGCTGAGCAAGCTGGAGCTGATAGGAGAATTGTTGAGGAATATTGGTTGCAAGCTGAAGCACACTACTAGGTTCTCCTCCTCCATAGAAGGGGAATTCATCAAGGATTTGCTGATGCTCTACTGGCTTTCCTTCTATTCCTACGTGTTGGTACTCCATTGCTGCTCGGTTTTCTTGAATCTGTGTGTGGTCATAAGAATTCTTTCCCTTTATTTCATCACAATTATGAATACAACAAGCTTAATTGAGTTTCTTACTTACCCAGCGGTACATGTTGTTGTTTTCTTCCTCGAGAATTCGTTCCTACACAATCCAATAAATCCAGGATTAATGAATTTAGCCGCTGAGATCTTAAAGTGTATGAAAACTCATATATATACGGTTCTAATTGGCATCACCTTTCTACGAAGGTTATCCAGCTGTTGTTGCAAGAGCTCATTCTGCCAAGTTACCATGCCAAAGAAATGAACATAAACTTCAAATTTACTAATTTTTTATTGTAAGAAGTCGTTGAATGAATCAACTAAAATGAAACCCAGATTTTTAAACAGTACCTTTCGTTCTCGGACCTTGTTGACCGAGCGCTCAAGTTCTTGTTCAAGTTGATCAAGCTCTTCGTATGGAATACAGCTCATGTCCTCACAAGTGTAGCGTCTCATGCTTAGTTGAAGACGACGTGTTTCTTTCCTCAACACTGCCAATTCATTGTACAATTGTTCCTATATATATGTATCATATAAAATCAAAAGGGTAAGGCAAGAAAATTTTTGGATTGATGAAACTTAAATTCTTAATCAATGAATCTTACTCGATTGTCATGCTCAGGAATGCGAGTCCCAGTGACTTTCTGGTACCTTTCTATGATGTGCTCCATTCTGTCAACACAAAAGAAACCCTAGGTAGCTAAATTATCATAACTTTTTTCATGCATTTTCAGGCCAAAGTAGAGAGGTGAAACTCAGATCAAGTCATGGGATTTCATGATAAAAATGTCAGCTTTCTATTAAGCTATGTTGACTGAACATGCAAACGTGCCTTACAGATCAACGATGAAATTAATGAAAAAACCTGTAAGGTTCAGTGCAGTATTGGCACATCTTGCCGGTGCTGGAGAAGATGATGAGGCCGATTTGAGCATCGCAGAGCACAGAGAGCTCGTGAGTCTTCTTCAAAAGCCCAGCTCGGCGCTTGGAGAAGGTGACTTGTCGAGTCGTCTGGTTCTCGATCCTCTTGATGGGTATCTTTCCTCGTCCCATAATTACCCAACAACGCCTTAAAACCCTTTGGCTATGAATCTCTAGTTAAGGAAAGACGAAATCAGGGAACTATTCTCTTTTATTCACTTCTAAAAACTCACAAATTTTAAAATAATAATGGAAAAAGGAAGGAGAAAGAAAGAAGAGGCGATGTTAATAAAGAAGTTCAAATATGGGACAAGTAGACATAAAGAAATGGGATGATAAAATGGAAACTAAAAGCTTCTGCAACCCTAAAAATAACTACTTTGTTTATAGTTTGTAGTTCTTAAAAACAGGAAGGGAAGGTATACAGAAAGAAAGAAAGAAAGAAAGAGGAGAGAGAAAGATGACTCCAAGTTTACCTATTCCTTTTGATCGTAAAAACTCTTGATCCTTTTGTGAAGCGTGTAGCAGAAAGGAAATGCTTGCTACATCCCCTCTTAATGGTAAAAGATAATACTTAATACTCTTTCTTTTAAAAGATACAAGTTCTATTCGAATTCATGTAATTATATTTGTAAGGCTGAGTGAAATTATACTTTGTCTCAGGGGAGACTGCCTCTTATTTTTTATAATTTAAAAATATACTTGAGTAAATATCAAATTACACTTTCTGATTTTAATTTATTTTGATTTTATCCTCTCATTCTTTATTACTAATTATACTTTATCTTTCTTATTTTTATGATCAATTATACTTTACTCTGGGATGATATCATATATATATAATGGTTGAGTAATTTTCTTACCATCATTTGAAATTGGATTTATCAACTTTGATTGAAAATAACAAAGTTGAATCTAAACTTGTAACAATTTGGTTTAATAATAAAAAAATTCAAATCCGAGATGGTTAGATTCAAAAAACTCGAGTCTCAAACACGAATGACCACTTCTACTCAAAACGACTTGAACTTAAAATGATTTAGAAACCAAAATTGACTAGAAATTAAGATATTTGAATAAATAACACTAAATGATTCGATAAAACATAAAAATTCAGATTAAATTGATAAAAATCTAAAATGACTTGAACTTAAATCGTCGTATGAAAAACTAATTAAACGTGAATGAAATGATTAGAAAATTTCAAAATTCGAATTAAAATCAATGTTTGGGTTGAGAGGAGAGGGGGGATCATTAGTTTTAATGGAAAATTAGCTTAGCCTTTAACAAAGGCTTGACCCTCAAGAAATGGATTGGTGAGGGGAAGGAGGAGGGGGAGTGGCATTATCAGCAATTTAATAGCAATAAGTATTTCTCCAATTGTCCTATGCGGAAACATAGACAGAAGGGTGCTGCGACTCTTAACCACTCCTCTGCTCTCATCTGCCAAGCAACCTGAAATTTACCATTTATGGAAAATCCTTTTTCAATTACAATACTATGGCCATACAGGAAAGGAAAAAACTGGAATTTTCAAACCCAAAATTCACATACCCCTAATGAGAAACGACAAACTGTAACAATCCCATGACTGAGACTTGTAGATATCTATTCTCATATCTGAATCACAGCAACTTCAACGAAAGTGTTAGAGGTAAAAAAAAGGAAAAGTAAAAGCTGAGATGAAAAGGTAATGAAATCACTTTAAGCTCCCTTTCATCCATGTATTTTCTTCTTCTTTTTTACCGCTAGAAATGGTAATGGAGCGAGTTTTTCACCACACGCAATCTAATCAAAAGTGAGTGTGGTAAAACACCAAACTTTGATGAAACGAACCAACAAATATGACCCCTTTTCTCTTGGGGTTTCTAATTACATGGAAGATGCCTTAGTGTAATGCGAAATAAGGGAAAAAATTTAATAGTCGAGGTGATAATAAGATAGTATCTGTTTAGAATTTTCTTAGCCTATAACGCACAAACACTCTGTGCAAATGCAACTGCTTGAACTCGAACTTCCAGGGAGATCAATATTTTCTTTTATCACTTAAGTCACTCAATGAATTTACGAAATAAAGCCTTAAAAACCCTAAGAATGCATACACGTAGGACACCAAGTTGATATATACAAGAAGAAGAATAAACCCCCTAAATGGTAGCGTGCAGTAATTGTGTGTTTCGTGGTAAATATGCGCGTTAATTCCATCCCATGCAGTGATTCTAGTATCTTAGAACATAGAAAATGCTTGGTTTTGCATGATAGGTTTTTGGGATTGCTGTTGAGTCGATAAGGGTTTTTGGATGTTTAATTAATTAATCAGAGCATTTGTCTGAGTCTAGTTTTAGCAAGGAGCCCTACACAGATAATGCATATTAGGTTTCCCGAAACTGGTTGCTTTTGCAATCCATTGGTCCCCCAAACCTACTCAACGTCAAAGATTTAAATTACAGCCTTACGGTTAATGTTATCATTGCAATTACTATTTTGTTTCCTCCAATCAAGAGCGTTGAACGTAAAGCCCTCTTTACTAGTAAGTTAAACTTAATTCTACTTAAAGGATTGAGGCCACTATCATAAGGGATGGACCGAGGGACAGAGAGAATAACCGTCTTCCATAATATATTTTTTTATATGTTCATTATTCCTAAAATTTTATAAGTTCGTCCCCTCACTTAAAATATTGCGTCCCTCACTATCATCTCAACCAATTCGCTTTATTAGTGTCTTCATCTTCATGAGGCTGAAGTCATTACCATCCCAATCCTTTACAAACTTAATAAATGTTAGTTTAGTCAATTATATTAAACATCTAATATCTATAAAAAAAAGGTCTAATTGTGGTTTTTATCTCCCTATTATGTTGAAATTTAGTGTTTGATTGTTTCACTTTAATTTGAAATAATTTGTTCCTATATTATTATAGGGTTTATCCCACGCACCGATAATAGAACAATATTTTATAAATAGGATTCTAATATTATTTTGTGTTCTATTTATAATTTAAAGTTTAAAGTTTAAGGATTATAATTTAGGGTTTAAGTTCATTTTAATATATCATATGATATTTAAACAGACCACTTATGAAATATTTTTCCCACTATCGGTGTATGAAATAACAAGTCATTATTATAATATTTAGTAGAGGTTTTCATGACCTGGTTAGAATAATTTTGGAAAATTGATAATATTGTTATAATAAGCTCAAATTGATAATATTGTTGTTTGTTTTTATTAAGGTGATTAACATAATTGTTTTTTTTTAAAATTTAAGCATTCGACTAATATGTAAACTTATTATTAAATAAATATGATTGATTGAATTTTTGTGTGGTACTAATTATGTGATAGAATAACAATAAAAAAATCACAATATCAATTTAAGAACAACAACTAATGATGTTATAAATTTGGACTTGCAATAATATAAAATTACATAAAGTAAATTATGTCAAACTAAAGCAGAAAGATCAAATTACTTTAATAGTAACAATATTATATCAAATTAAAATAAAGAGATCAAATCAAAAGTTTTTGGGTAATAGAAGGGCTAAAACCATAATTGAAAATTCAAAAGCTTCAAAACAGAAATGGGAACATATCCTCTGAAACAAACTCTGCATGTTTGAAACCCTAATCTCTCGCAAAAAAGTTGAATTCAACAATAATTTTAAGGCAATATTAAAAGTGGGGTTGGTTTAAACAATCTCTCTATAGCACATTGGAATTAGACCTAAAGAAAGACATTAAAACAAGGTTATACACGTTTAATTGAAAGTCAAGCACCGACAAACACATTTGATGTTTTGTAATTAATCCCAGTGAATTGCCCATCTCCTGCATGAAATAAATAAAAAAATGTGGTTGGCTCGTATATTATATATATTACTACTATTATCATGAACGCTAATAGCGAAATTAAATATCTCCACAAGTTTATTATAATGGAAAATTAATTACATGAATAAATTAAATTAGACTAAATTAAAAAATAAAAGAATTCTCAAGTTTCAACAAGTGTAATAAACTTTCTTTTAATACTAAATCTTAAAAATCTATAGGTATGTATCATATACCATGTTAATATATATCAATAAGAATGGATGAGTTGTATTTATAGTAGATGATGCAGTTTTTCTGGTTTAAGTGAAGAGTTGTAATTAGTAATCGAGTGATTATTGTTTTGATTTTTGGATCTTTTATCTCCAAAAGGAGATAGAAAAGAGAGGAGTGAAGAAAGAGGTTCTAACTCTTTCTTTCAGTCTTGATCAATTATTAATGGGAACAAATGGATTATATCAGTCATTAACGGTTCACCTCTTTTAATTTGAGTGGAGAATCACAGTCGGTGTTTGGATCTTGTCTCCATAAGGAGGTAGACGAGGGAAGAGTGAAGAAAGAGGTTCTATATCATTTCTCTCGGTCTCGATCGAGATATTTTATAGTGACCCTTAATGTTGGGGTCAAGTATTGAGTCATGATAGCTATTCGTAGGTTGGCAGGAATAATATAACCGATTAATGTGGTCAGTTGTCAATTGATTTTAACTCTGGTAAGTCATACGGAACCTACCGTAGGTCATGTCAAAAGATTGTGTCTTCTCAAAAAAGTGTAAGATTCCGAAAGCTCTATATCTAGAGATATTTATTGAGGCCTCATTTGCGAAGATGAATTCTACAGAAAAATGCAGAGATGGTACGAAAAATATACAATAAAAAACTAGAAGAACTCTCCCAAAGGGTAAGATGCAGTAAAAGGTGTTTAATTGTATATCTGCAGTTAACTCCATTCTCTTGTTTTATTAAGGAACACAGTGATTTTAATATCTAATGGTTATAAAATTGAAAATGGTTGGTTTTGGATGATATATTTTTGGGACTGTTGTTGAGTCGATAAGGGCTTTTGGATGTTCAATTGATCACAGCATTTGTCTCAGTCAAGTTTTAGTAAGGAGCCCTACACAAACTATGCAAATTAGGTTTTCCAAAAACAGGTTGCTATTGCTCTCCATTGGTCCCCCAAAGTCTACCATTTTCATTGCTCCTCAACAACGTCACACGGTTAATGTTATGTTTATCATAATTACTAATGTTATCTTAACTAATCACAATAAATATTAAATATTTTAAAATAAAGTATAATCATGGTTTTAATTTTTTATAATGTTATTAATAGATCTAAATTGATATAACATTTTTTTGTTGTTATTAAAGAAATATATATTTTTAAATAGTCTCAAGTGATTATAAGATAGTATTAATTCATAATTCTTTTTAATTATTAACGACGCACACACACCCTACCAACGCAGTTACTCAAACTCATAACCTTAAGAGAGAAAAATACTCTTTTTTACCATTGAAGATAGCGAATGAATTCAACAAACATATTTTTTAAATAGCCTTATGCATTCAACTACATGAATTATTGGTAGTTGAACATAGTTGATCGTATTTACATGTGGCATCACTTTGTCACCGAATATCAATAAAAAAGTTTCATGTTATCACGTTAAGAGTAATAATTATCAATGTTATTAAGTAGGAGT